GCGCAGAAAAAGAAAAAAAAAAAAAAAAAAAAAAAAAAAAAAATCTCATAATTTTTTTTTTTTTGCGGTACGTGGGCTACTCACTGTTGTGGCCTCTCCCGTTACGGAGCACAGGCTCCGGACGCACAGGCTCAGCAGCCATGGCTCACGGGCCCAGCCACTCCGCGGCATGTGGGATCTTCCCGGACCGGGACACGAACCCGTGTCCCCTGCATCGGCAGACGGACTCTCAACCACTGCACCACCAGGGAAATCCTCATAATAATTTTAACATGAATTCCTCCAAAATTATTGAGGCTGAACATTTTATAGCTATGTTACTTTCCCAAGGCTACCATGACAAATTTACACAAACTAGATAGCTTGAAACAACAGAAATGTATTCTTTGACACGGTTCTGGAGGCTAGAAGTCCAGAATCAATGTGTCAGCAGGTTCATACTCTCTCAGAAGGCTTTAGGGGAGGATCCTTCCTTGCCACTTCCTAGCCTCTGTGTTTGCTGGTGGTTCTTAGCATTCCTTGGTTTGTGGACCCAAATTACTCCAGTCTCTGTCTCCATTGTTATATGATATTATTTCTGTATCTCTATTTGTGTCCATATTTCCCTCTTTTTGTGAGAACTCCATTCACTGGATTAGGATCCACTCTAATTCGGTATGACCTCATCTTAACTTAATTACACCTGCAAAGAGCCTATTCCAAATAAAGTCACAACACAGGTACTAGGGATTAGGTCTTAAACATATAATTTGAAGGGACACAAGTCAACTGATAATAGCCTGTAGATACTCTTTACTTATTTATTAGCATGCTTTTGTATTGTTTCATGTGAGTTATTTATATATTACAAAATTAATATCTGATAATGATAAAGTATAATTGATATTAACTAATTAAAATTCTTTTAATATATACTACTGCTATTAACATGTCTATGTCATTGTTCATATCATTGGTGGAAAACAATTTTCCTGTTAAAATTAACAAGGTTAAAAATAAAACATAATATAGATGTCAAGCTACTGATATATATTCTCTCTTAAAATATGTTTAAACAATGGCTCATCTAATCATTTCAAGAACTCAGAGTCATACAATGAAAGGATCAATGATGTTTATGATTAAAATATTACTAAATATTTGTTACATTATTGCTGTTCTGGAAAAGAAGTTTGAGCAAGAATACTAGATCTTATTTTTTCTATGTCATGTGCCAATCTTGTAAGGAGAAAAATCATATCAAGTTTATATTAATAATTATGCACTTTCAGAAGTATTGTATAAAGATACATAAGGTTACATGTGTCTCTCTCAATAAAATGAACAAAATTATAGTTAATATCAAAGAGGAAAAAGTATTAACTAGTGAGTATGCAGGTTGGTATGGCCATAGAAGGTACACAATAACCAAAACAATGGATACATTAAACGCTGTGAAATTCTAATAATTCTTCATCACAGAATGTTGGACTATTATACCTGGAAGTGGTGCCACTATTTGTTTTTGTAGAAGAGAAGTTTGAAAGTAATGGTAATTAAATGACTGTAATTATAAATCACACAGACGGCAGACCCAGGACTGGAAAACAGGCACCCTGATGTGTAGCTCTGTGTTTTATCCACAATAAAATGCTCAATGGAATTTTTCTGCCCAACCTGTCGTTTGCTGCTCCATCTTCACACTATGGTACACCTCTGACCTACAGGGAGCACAGTGGAGAGGTGCTATAATTTCTCAAATTCAACAATGATTTTACAAAACTTGAGAAGCATTTATTTGTATATTCTTCTAAATTTTGCAAATACCATTATAAAGAAGAGCAAACAATTTGAATGAAGTATGCAATATGATTGTAATTATGGTGCCCCACAGCTTTAAAATCTTCTCCTTTCTGGTATTATATGGCATATTGCTCATATTCCCAAAACTATATTTATAGTTTCCTTAATCTCTAGGAGTGGTTGTGCTAAGCACTTTTGTTTTTTTTAAAAAAACACCTCTGTTATGTCCTTTGCCTTTGAAACAATCATTATCTCGCGGAGGCAACATATTGGTAACCAATTCATAATAAAATGGGCTGGTAGTATATATTAACAATGCTAAAAGACAAAAGACTGGCATGATCAAATTTTTCTTTTCTTTTCTTGGATACTATAGTGGCCAGGAATAAGATAATGATCCATAGAGGTGCTCTGCAAACTGATACTTGATGGGCATTTTTCATTCTTCATTAAATAAGTTACATTAGACAGAACTACAAAAAAAATCTTGGCAAAATTTTCTGAAAATTGAATTTTTTGTTTAATTTCAGTATTTAATTTCAGTGATATATTTAAAGCTCAAACACTGATTTAAAATGTCTTGTAATAATAAGAGTTGCTTTATGTGCTCTATTTAATTAATTTTTCTTTGGTTTTAGTTGATTCAGACTGTCAGTGTCATGGACAAAGATGATCCTCCCCGAGGCCACAAATTCTTCTTTGAACCAGTGCCAGAATTTCCCCTCAATCCAAACTTCACCATTGTAGATAATAAAGGTACAGAACATTTTTGAAGACAAATATTATGAAACCTTAGGAGGCAAAATTTTAAAACTGGTCTGACTTTTTGTTTTTTCAGATAATACAGCAGGAATGAGCACGTATCTGCTGCCAATTTTAATCTTTGACAATGATTATCCAATCCAAAGCAGCACTGGCACACTCACCATTCGTGTGTGTGCCTGTGATAATCAAGGTAACATGCAGTCCTGCAATGCCGAGGCCTTGGTCCTCTCTGCTGGCCTGAGCACGGGAGCTCTCATCGCTATCCTTCTCTGTGTCATCATACTACTTGGTAAACTATGCCCCTGAAAGATATGCCCCTGAGATATGCTCATTCAACTCAAGGAATTCTCTCCCTCATTACCCAGTGATTGCACACTGAAAAGCACTCTTCTTTAGAGCTAAAGGCTGAAAATTTTAACTTGTTATTAAAATTGTTCTTCCAACTGAAAAACAATTGAGTTTTTGACTGTGGATAGTTCTAGCTTTAAAGAGATCGAAAACAAGGATATAATAGCTAGTGATATATACGTATATTTTAAAATATGTTTTATATTTATAGTGTTTAGTGTTAACTAAGATTGTCCCATTTCTAAGGACATTTCATTTAATAATTGATTTAATTTTCATATCAACTCTGTAAGGTAAATGCTTTTATTCTTCTACAGAAAGGTTAGATAACTTACACAAAGTCACTCATTCAGAAAGTGTTATAACTAGCATTAAAACCCAGATTATTCTATTTCAGAATCCACCTTTCTAAGCATTATCCTCAAAACAAAAGACTACTTTACAAATAATATTCCTAACAAATACTAAGTTATGTATATCATAAATGGAATTGGCCAGTGCATTTAACTTGTCACAGTAAGATAAACTTTTTTTTTTCATAAAATTTGTTAAATGTAGGCACAACACACCAAATTAAATTTTAAGCTCATTTCTTAAAATATCACTATGGCACTGTGGTCATACCTACTCCAGCAATATTTTCTAAATAAAGTCATGCTTCCAAGTGCAAATGCTTTCTTTGAGCATGCCCTAACAGGACAATGATTTAATTCAATTAAACAGTTGTTCCACTGTAACACATTCCCCCAAAACTTGTTTCCATCAAATATTCATCCAAAATGAATGCTTAGGGCATGAGAACTAGCCAAGTTTATGTCCCAATGCTCATATGTGCTGGCTCCTTTTCACTGCAAATCCTCTCAGGCTATCTGGATAAAATCCCTTTGGCCAGATATTCTTGCAGGACTTCAGTGGGGAACTGATGAAAGTGAGGGGAAAACATTTGTCTCAGTTATGATGATCCAACTATTTAGAAAAACATTTTTGTAGGATGGTTTAGAACTTAACACACTACTACCATCAGCAGCAGCAGCAGTCCACGTCTCCACCTGCTGCTAGAAAGTTCAACTCCTCCATAAAATATTTTTGTATCCTCATGGAGATTAAATGCTGGCTTATGCTTTTAGCTAAGTGCTACTGATATCATATTGCTTTATTTGCTCAAATAGTTCTACTTTCCTAATTCAGGACAATATGGAAATATGTATATTTCAAATTTGATTTTTTAATTTCAATATTAATATAACACATACTAACACATAAAGACATGCATGCATACATGAGGGAACATAATCCACCCAAAAAAATAGGTTTAGATATTATAACATTATCCAACTAAATTGGATAATATTTTTCTCTATGCAGAAATCCTATAAGGCTTCTTTTATTCTGAAAAGTCTGCCATCTTTCTGCCCCAGGAAATATAGAAGGCACACAATTCCTGTATTTTACCTTCTCAATTTATTGCCTAAATGTGGAATGATTTTCTATTATTTTAGTTAAAATGGGTTCTAACTCATAAGGTTTCATTATAAAAGTTCTTTAAGCATCCTTGCTGTTATTTCATGTCTTTATACTAATGGCTGGACATAGTTTCTATATCTCTGAAGTCAAAAGAGTCTGCTTTTTGCAAAATGGTGCTATAGCATGGACAATAATATTTTAGACCTATCCTGCTACAGTTTGAAGAAATGTAATTCATAGTTTATGTTACAAGGCAAAGTAGCGGGTTAAAACCTAGAGCAGGGCTTTTTAATCTTTTCGGTTCCTTGGACACCTTTCATAGTGAAGATGAAGCTATGGACTTATTTAGAATAATAATTTAAATTTATAAAAATAAGACGTAACACAAAAGGAAATACATTTATCCAAATTAAACAAAACACAAAAAAAGCAAAACGTGTTAAATTACTGTCATATGTGCTTTGTTCTAGAACAAGTCTAATGATTATTTGTAATATATCCTAACTATAATACAATATAAAGTATCTGTGATTTCTATTGGTTTAAAAGTCACACATACTATCACTACAGTTTATGCTGATATCCATAATAGAAAAAAATGTTAAATTCAAGTTATAGTGAAAATATAACTTTCTATATTACAGAATATAGCATTTCTTTCTATTCTTTACCTTAGTCTCTTTGAATTCCGTTCACATACCTCAGATTAAAAACCTCAGTCAAAGGAAAAGAAGCAGATAATTTTGGCCTGACAAAGCAGAAAACCCTCAGAACAGATTCTGAAGACAATTTGTGAAAGTTTGTTAACATTATATTAGTTAAGAAACCCTTAACACTATTTGACTATATGGTTGTTCTTCTATGCATAGAGAATTTATAAATTAATTCATTCAGTATTAAACTTAGAAAGAACCCTGTTTTTCTACTGCATGATTCACTAGATTTGTGGATTTCAGGTCTATGTTGGACAATTTATGATCATCCTTTAACAGAAGAGAGTATAGATATGTCTCATTATTAATGAAAAGTTTTTTAAAATGTCTTCAACATGATTCTGAATATAGCTCAGCACCCAAAGCCTGATCTGCAGAGGTTAGTGAAGATACTTCTAATGAATCTTTTGTTTTCTTATTACCAATTAGTAAGAGCTGAGGAAAGTATATTGGCCAATATGACAATAGCATTGTATGGGCCTTAAGTGTAGTTACAGGAGCCTCAAGGGCCATGGTGAAGTGCAGTCTCAATGGAAATGAGTTTGTAATCTCAAAACAAAGACTGAGAAAATGAATGGTAGGTTTCTGAGGCAACATGTTCTCATTTTTCAGTGAGACATCAGTAGTATTGACAAAACATTTAACTTCCATAAAGTAAGGAAAACCTGGTTTTTATTTCTCCCCAGCAATGTATAAGTATGTTTTTGGAAAATATTCTTTATTTAATTCTTAACTTTCTTATGTATAAAATTATGTACTTGGTTCATTTTCTATGGAAATGTATTTTGTTGGAAATCATGTGATCTTTCTTATGTTTTAAAATGTAATTTTTAATTTCAAAATATATTTATATTTCAAATGTTCATTGTCAAATACATGCATAATAATTTAAATTCCAGTAGTATAACAAGAAATAAGGAAGTATGTCATATGTGGGGAAGTTCATAGTTAACTTGATAACATAAGCATATAAATAATAATACAGCATATACAGGGAGCACAATTAACATTTCAGCCCCAAAGTTTGAATGCAACTATATATCAAGGAAGTCCTCAGAAATAAGGTAATATCTGTAAGATGAGAACAAGGTAAAGATAAGTTTGAGTTTTAATTTTATATTGTAGCTTATAGAGTTATATTTCAGATTTTAAGCAGGCTTTCAAAACCAGGTCAATAAAAGAAATTAACTAAACAGATGTGACATATGGGAATAGATGAGATTAGTAGCATATATATGTGTGTGTGTGTGCACATATGTATGATATATATACACATAACATTATACATACATATACACATGACATATGAATATATGTGAGCAATACTTTGCCTGTATTCCCTTGAGTCCTCAAGATAATATTAAATTGGTACTGAATTTCTCTTGGGATAATAATGATTGTAGCTTTAGAATTTTAGTATTTTGAAACAAACATGCATTGGGGAAGAATGAGGTATTACATACTTATAGTTGGCTAAATGCATTCACCATAATTGAAGATTTTCAGTGCCAGAGCCCCATAGGAGATTGAGTCTTGAAAGTAAATAAATGGCATTGTAATATCTGTTTCTTTAACAATATAGTACATCCAGTCACTGGCCCAAATCATCCTGTATTTGTGTAGGATAGTTACTCTTTAAAACCAAATGAACTTAACACTTCTTACACCTCACCAAGGTCACAAATACAAAAGTGCGCTATATTAATTTAAACCTGAATCATGGAATCTCACAATTTTCTCTCTTTGGTTTTTTCTTCTTGTTGTTGTTGTATTTGTTTTTGTTTGTTTTTTGTTAATAGTTTTAGTTGTGCTGTTTGCTGCATTGAAGAGGCAAAGAAAAAAGGAACCTTTGATAATTTCAAAAGATGATGTCCGGGACAACATTGTGACCTACAATGATGAAGGCGGCGGGGAAGAAGATACCCAAGCTTTTGACATTGGCACATTAAGGAATCCAGAAGCAAGAGAAGATAGTAAATTTAGAAGGGATGTAATGCCTGAAACAATTTTTCAGATAAGGAGGACTGTACCTCTGTGGGAAAATATTGATGTGCAAGATTTTATCCATCGAAGATTAAAAGAAAATGACTCAGACCCAAGTGCACCTCCTTATGATTCACTGGCAACGTACGCCTATGAAGGGAATGATTCCATAGCAGATTCACTCAGTTCTTTGGAATCTCCCACAGTAGATTGTAACCAAGATTACGGTTACCTCAACGACTGGGGGCCTCGTTTTAAAAAACTTGCTGATATGTATGGGGGTGATGATAGTGACCGAGATTAAGAGTATGGTATGACTTCATGGACATCAGTGGAAGTACTCTCTTTGTTACTAGACGGAGTGGCTTGCATTCTCTTCCTTGGAGGAAAATTTTTTAAAAATCAAAATTACAAACAATACTTAGGTGTTGTCTTAGTAAGAGTTTGCTTAATCAGTAAGTTTCTGTGAATGAACACGAATGACATAGATTTTAAAAAGTAATAATAACCAGTTCACCCTCTTTGACTATCTCTGAAGGAAAGTATATCACATCAATAACCGATAAAAAGTACATAAAAGGCTTTTTGTGCCTTGGCTTAGATATAAGAACTTTATAAATAATGTTTTCTTAACTGACTTATAGTCACCTTTACTACTAAATGAAACTTTGTGCAACTGCTTTGTAAATTAATATGAAAAAATATATCTCTAAAGAAATAGGAATGACTATTACTGCCATATTTATTTAGTTGAAGAATGTCTTTCTGTTAATTCATTCATATTTTTATAAATGTATATTTATATTTTTATATTTTTATGAAATAAAATAGTATTTATAAAAATAAATTTCACTTTATTTAATTCCTAGAAGCAGTTCTAATCTCACTTATAACATTTTTTAAACATCTTTAAAGGTAAAACATGATTTACTCAGGGGAAAAAGCAGCTAAATTATTGCATGTAATTTGGAAATAGAATGTGGTAGGACTATAGTGAGCTTTGGTACAAGTTGTGATTTTCTCCTGCAACCACTAGAATATGGACAAGTGTTTATTGAATCACTGATGTCTACCCATCGATAAGGATGTGAAACACATTTACAATATAAAATATTATAAATATACTTGTGAACAATTAACTTTAATTTTTTTGTACAATTCTTTCACTTTATAATTCCTAGAAGCAGTTCTAATCTCACTTATAACATTTTTTAAACATCTTTAAAGGTAAAACATGATTTACTCAGGGGAAAAAGCAGCTAAATTATTGCATGTAATTTGGAAATAGAATGTGGTAGGACTATAGTGAGCTTTGGTACAAGTTGTGATTTTCTCCTGCAACCACTAGAATATGGACAAGTGTTTATTGAATCACTGATGTCTACCCATCGATAAGGATGTGAAACACATTTACAATATAAAATATTATAAATATACTTGTGAACAATTAACTTTAATTTTTTTGTACAATTCTTTCCTATGGGATCAACCAGTAAAATTTATTGAGAGTAAATGAACTATGTGTCAGTAATGTGTAGATGAAGAAAAAAATCTAAACCACTCTTCCTTTATCAATAGTATAGTTTCAGAATGAGAAATGATAGTTCCAACTTTTCTCTTTATGATTAGATAATTGATGGAATATAATTTGGGTAACATTTAAAATGTGTATTAACAAATTAGTGGAGTTTTTTTTTTTTTTTTTTTGATAATTTTGTTGAGGATGTTGGAAGCCACTGTATTTGAAGAAATCTTAAAAAAACTAGTGACAGGTAGACTGGAGATAAGGAACCTTAAGGAATGTAAAGTTTTATTAATGATTGGGACTGTCCAGAAAACAGAATATAGACACCCTAAGACATAGGAAATAAGAATAGAGAGGGATAATTGTGCATAGTAATCATTTGCAAATTTTGAAAGACTGCAATGTAGAAAACTTGCCCTGGATTAGCCTGGAGAATAAAACCTAAACTGAAAGACAGAAACTTCACAGGGAGATTACATGATATCCATTTTCTATGTCATGAATTATCCTCTTTTTTCCCTGTATTATTGCTCCTTTGAGGAACAAATATCTTGCCCAGGGTAATTTCTAGGTGGAATTTACATAGAAATTTGGCTTTGACTAGTCTGTTAGCAAGCCTTTTAAAATAGCAACTACTTATTAACTTATAAATAGGCACGTATGTATTCTGTTACTATGTTGTAAAATATTTAAAGACCAAGACTATTTCAATAATTTTACCACCAGTAGCTAACACATATTAAAGGTTTAATTTAATGCTAAGAAAACAAAAACATACTGGGTATTTAAAAAAATAAGTGAAAATTTCTTATCATTGGAATTGCCCAGAAAACAAAATTTTTAGTTTTAGTTAAGAAAGTATTAGTTTTTACCTTAATAAGTAATTAGTTTCTCCATTGCTAGAAATCTTCCTGCATAAATCAGACAAATATTTGAGGAGGATTATTTAGAGTGGCTTAAGGTAGTAAGAAAAAATGAATTAGATGCCTATTAATGCCTCTTATAATCATTTATTCTATAATCACCAGGGGGATAAGTGACAATAAGTAAACACATTCTAAGAAGGCCCATAATTACCATATGGGTAACAACTATTTATAAAAGAGATTATGTCAAGTCAGAAATGGGGGAATTGGTAGTTGCATCGCCTGCCTGAGTTCACCATGCCATAAATACTAAGAGCACCACAACAAACCAAGCTTCAGCTGTAGACCTATAATTGCTATGAGAAAATCATATTGATACCAGATAAGGCATATTAAGTTTTTAAGCTCGATTATGAAGAATTATTAATTTGACTACCATTTTTTGGCAATTAAATATTGAATTTAATTTCAGAGTTATTCCTTTCCTTCATCTGGAAATCAATGATGTACTACTGGAGTCTTCATAAGGGCAGAGTTAACAGATTTCATACTTAATAGGTACATGATTGTTTCTGCTATAAATTGGAGGGTCAGATTTGATCAAATAAATTACCAGATGTGTGTAATACTGATACTTCCCATAATTTTCCAGTAATGCTTGAAATTCCTTCAGTGGAAAAATGCATTTAGGAGTCAGATGAGATTTTATTATTTCCTTACTGGCAAGTAAAAAAATTACCTAACTTCTCCAGAAAAATAGACTTGAAAATATTTACCCTATTGGGTTTGGTTAATTTTATTTCACTAAATGCACACAATACACTCAATAATATTAGTTGCAATCACTTGATTCTCTTGGACTGTGGAGTTGGTAATATCTGAGGAAAATTAATACTTAATGTGTGCTTACTTTTCAAACAAAATAACTTAATTAGCTTTGACTGCTTACACTTGAGATAGAATTAAATTAAAGCCATTTGAGTAACCACTGTTCCAAATATAATTAAAACAATCATTGTTTTATTTTGAATGTTCAATAATTTTAAGAAAATATAATATCTGTCTATATTCATATCTGAATATTTTTCATTGAGAGGAAGCTACCTACATTATTAGAACTTTAACACACAACCTGAATGTTATTACATTCATTCCTGC